GGTCAAATGACAATCGGAGAGCTGGGATTAGATTTTGTCATCATGTGGCTTGAAGTTCACAACCTTGCAGTGATTGTAGCGACCACCTCAGTAGGTCGAGTTTTGTCCACATGGAGCCTCTGGGGGAAGTTGTGAGAACCTCCTGACCTCCCGAGAAGTCCTTTCAGATCCTTTCAATCATGAACTCTCTGAGTCTGAATCCGTGCCACCCCAGGGTGCCAAAACCGTCGTAAAACTGGTCTGTGCGCGGCCGTATCTTCCTAGCAAAACTCACGGTCTCAATCCAGCGGTATTTGTGGGTCAACCTGGGCCTCAACCTGGGCCTCACAGTTAACGTGGATTAGACCAGAACATGGATGAGACCAATAGATTCTGCCCACCCTACCGGTGAACCGACCGTGCCGAACCCAACGTACCGGGCCGTGACCGACCGTGGACGGCGTGGGTGGCAGCCCCCTCTGAAGGGGGAGTTACCCTGGAGAGCCACACAGTACATGGGTTTCTTTGACGAAAAGAAGACCTCTGGGTGAGACTGTGAAAGAAGATGGTCTGGTGAACACAAACATGAAACAAACAACTCACCGCTGCAACACAATCGGACAACCGATACAACCAGTGGCTTCCCTGTTCCCCATCTGCTGCACACTTTAGTGAACCCCAATCTCTACCAATAATAGCTCCCACTGAAGCAATCCACACGCGTTGGCACGTGTGTAAGCCTGCATAGTACAGCCTTTCTTCCCGCAATCAATTGCTGTGAGGTGCTACCTCCCTGCCAACCGTGAAAGCTCTTGAGGATTGCTGGGTCAAACTTCTCACGAAGTTTCAGCCACACAGTTTTGGTTGCAATGATTGGGTTCAGGCGCCTAACTTGTCATGCACCAACAAATGCGTTGGAGGTGGGAAGGAACAGCGGTCGAGGCACTCTTCTGGAAATCCAACGTCTCAGATGTTGACCTTTTGGGGATGGTAATGAGATGGGAGATAGCCCCCGAAACCCCAAACTCAG